AATTGTATCTCTCGCATACATATGCATGTACACAATATGTACATATTACATATTTCGACCTATGCATGCATTTATTTTAAATAATTAACCAATTTAAAGAACAATAAAAGCTTTGTAAAAACGTAAAAAGCCGTCAGCATTTCGCGTCTAACAAGAAAAAAATGCATTTGCTTTGATGAGACAATTTCTGTTAAATTTATTTTGCTTCTGGCTGGGCTCTGTTAAAATTCGATTGTCTCTTGCTGGCCGCTCTTAAAATGCGCTTCGCCAGTTTTGTTGGTATTTGACAGTTTCCACGCTGATCCGTTCTTGGACCTTCTCTATAAATATACGTTCTCTGTTTTTCATTCATTCGTTCACATTCTTCCATTTGAAGATAGAAAATTTAAAACAAAATGTATATTCATAACTTACAACATTCCAAACGTTGAGTGTTTTGTATATGAAGTAGAATATTCAAATCTACAGTACTCAGTTCGGCTAGAACTTTGCATCAACTCATGCAGAGGTCTAATGCTTACGTATTTTTTTAAACAAACCTTCTTGCAGAGAACTTATTTAATTTGCAAAAACCGAAAAATAAACGTTTGCTTAGCAAACAAATTCATGATTTTTATTGCTCACTTTATTTCAAACGGTTTTTCTTTTGTTTTAAAAAATTATAGAAAATAAATTGAGCGAAAACCAAAAGCAAAGCCAATCATTATGCAAAAAAGAAATTAGTTTCATTTAATGACATTCGTTGTTGTTGTTAACCATTTGACTTTTAATAAAATTATGACATTTAACCAAATTCATGCTCCTGATCACCAGAAGTAATATTTTTTTTGAAATTTTGGAGATACGCTAACCACAAAGCCAAATTTTTTACAAAATCTGTTGAGAAATTTAAAAGTAAATTTGGACCAAAATCAATTATATAAATAGGCAATCATGTTTCCTTTACACCCCTTTTGCGGCTAAACTATACCTCTAAGGTATAAACAGTTATATATCATTAGAAAGGTATTTAGATGCTGATGTGCAGGCAATTTTACAAATTTCAAATAAGTTTAACATAAAGCGAAAAAATCAATTCAAAAGTCACACCAATACTAATGCCGTACATGTACATGGTTGGGGCGGAAATGCCTCCTAAATGTATGCTTTAAGATTGATACTGAATTAAAGAAGATTAAGATTCATGCAAGGAAGAAGGTAAATTTTGAATATGTAGAAGAAGAAAGGGATAAAGGCAAAGATTAGAATAAAAGTAAAGAAACTTAAATATAAACGAAGGTGAATATGAAGATGAAATGAAGATGAACATGAACATGAACATGAAGGTGAAGGTAAACATAAACATTAAAAGCGATAGAGACAAATATAGAGAGGAAGAAAGTGATAGGGATAAAAGGAAATACAACTGAAACATGTGCGATGTTATATTGTGGTGTGTTATGCTACATATGTTATGTTATTTAATCTTATGCTATGGTATGTTATGTTATGCTAAGTACTAAGCTAAACTCCCTCCACTTAACCCATTCCAACTAATGTTATTTCAGCTCAACTCAACTTACATAAACTATCCTCAATTTTAGCGGTTCAATTTCAACCGCTGGGCGAAGTATTAATAAAAAGGTTTTATTTGGAAGAACATTTTTTAGAATTAGATTTTTAGATCGCAGGATTGCATTCAAAATAATAAAATGAAAACAAGTAAGAAAGTCTAAGTTCGGGCGGAGCCGACCATTAAATACCCGGCGCAAGTATTAAATATATGTTTTC